ATCCTCGTTTGCGAATCAAAATGCAGATGCGTTATCACCCGTGAGGACTAAGATGGAATGCGTTTTTTCCAGTAAAAAGGGCCTCCGGTTCCCTACACTCACCATACGAAAAACATCAGTGTTGAGCTGCTATTTCACGCTGGTATTCTATAAGTACGTGGTCGTTCCCTGGTGTAACTAACTATACTACTAATATAGCTGCAGCATGGCTTTACCACGTAGAAAACGCCTTGTGCTAATCATTGGCTAAAGGCTAGTCAGATACAAAAGTAAATACTAAATAATAAGATAATAATCTAGATTATCACTGGAAAAGTATGTGATAAAAATCAAAGCCCAAAAATTTTTCTTTAAAGCCAACGTATTCAACTAGTGGAAAAAGCTATTTCCTACGTAACAAAAAATGTGAGAATGTGGACATTTCGATTCAAGGAAGAAGAGGAATGAGAAGATTTCGAAAATATTTACCAGGAGAAATAATCCGATATGCTGGAATAACGTTACCAGAGGAGCTGCAGAGAGCTATGTTAGAATATCTTGACAGATTTTACGAGGAAGTAGACCATGAGCAATGGATGATATTCTCGTAACATTTAATGTTGTTCAGCCTTACACTCTGCTAACGTGTAATATTTCAAAATCTGACAAAAATCTATGATGATTTTTCTGCAGGATATATAATTTTGGAGACTTTATAACTTGAAAGCTGCCAGCATTTCTTCCTAAGAAGCGGTTCAATGTAATTCATTGGAGCTTTTCTTGTAAAATTGGGCTATTCTGAATCTGTTCCAAATCTAGCGCTGTGTCTAATATTTCTTTTACTATTAAGTTTCATGTGAAGAAAGCTTTTCAAAACTCTAGTTAATAAAATCTAACTTAAGGTCCACAATGAGCCAAGCGGGACTATCCAATCTTACCATTTTATCTATCGAAAATGACAAGAAAGTAAATTTTGATAATATATTATAATATTTTAGCAAAATAAAGTCCCGATAGCATGTATAGTATTTTTTGTTTTATTTTGGGGGTGCTTGATAGAAAACCACCCTGGGTGCCAACCCACGCTACACCGCCACTAGTTACCGTAAGGCTTGATACTGTCGCGAAGCAATAATGTAACCAAGATATTAAACGGAGTTTAACTATAACACTATTCAGCACTTTCCATATTGAAAAAAAAATACGCATTTCGTTTTCCGTAATGTATATACTATTAATATCCTCAAAATATTGTATCATGGACACTCTATTAGAAAAAAATGGAATGCTTAGCTCGGTGCCTTTCATTCATTTCAAGGTCACTGATTTAGGAACGTTTCTCTTATATAAAGTGCGCACTCCCCATATTTTATAATCTCCTTGTTTTTCATTTCACTTTTTTTTTCGGACTGATGATTACAAACATTTAATAATTAATAATTAAATACGTATAGAAGTTTATTTTAACATTTGACTTAATATGAATATAAACTTAATAATGCAAGTAATGAAACTTGTTGGAATCAGTTAAATAAGATTGCTCTGTTTAAATGCCAATATGTTTATGAGGCTTCATCATGCTTCATGATTATATTCTTTCACCTGGCCCTGAAAAGTATAAAGTAATCATAAACTTATTATCATTTTAGCTATATGAATTTTAAAAACGTATTGACCTTAACAGAGTAAAGTGCTCCAAGCACTCTCTATTCTCTCAATCTCAGTATTTTAAGAAAATGATCACTCATTCATGGACCGACCGCTGCAAGTGCAACTTAATCTCGTAAATCTATTAGTCCGCGTAGCTATTACTTAACCACGAGTTCCTCTTCTCTACGTGAGACGTGTAAATAAAAAAAAATACTTTCAATAAGTATTATGTAATAATCTATATTGAATAAAAAATATTCTATTCTACGACTAACGCTGTAGGCAGTGAACCACGCTATTTAAGCCCTCGGCACAATGTCGTTGCCATCAAGTATGAGTCGAGCATCGAGCGTTGTGAGTATCAATTACTATACAATTTATACTATCGCATCTCATGCGCGGGCGTCTAGTGGCGCTTCAGGAGCATTACTACGCTACTTAACTACGCTAAAAGTTTTATCATTGTAACAATCCGAAACTCCGCTCAACCCAAATGGGGAAAATAGCTAATTAATTTTACCTTTAATGTACTACAGTTATATAATATATAAAAATCTGTCTCTAATATTATATAAAGTTTTGAAGGTAAATTTTTTGAAAAATTATTAAAACAATGTTATACTTACTGGTACAAATAATGTAGAAATGATTCCTTTTAATGAAATTGCTTTTAACCTACATTTTTTTATACTTCTCAAGAAAATGTTTGCTGAAAATTGTTGGGTTCTTCTTTGGATTCCAACCAACCCGTCCAATTAACCTTAATCATTTTTTCTAATTATGGAACCCGGAGGGAATCTGTTTGACAAAAGGCAAAATAAAATTACATTTTAGAACGCAAGCCGAGTATTTACCACCTTGTTGTGTGGGCAAGTGTATCGATTCATTATAAACATTCAAAATAAATATCGACATTAATTTTGATATAGTTGAGCCAATCCCTAGCATACATGTGAAATATTTTGTATAAAAATTTATTTACAAAATTCATGCAAATTATCAACAACGTGACTTTTTTTTGCAAATTATCAAAATTAACAAAATAATTGAAAACATTTTACGTGCCGCTTCAATGGTGATTTTAATTTAACACACAGGTAGGGCTAGTGCCCATTAGTCATAAATAATTTTGATGGGTTAAAATAACTCGTAAATTGTAATTTTTTGTTTTCCAACAAACTTAATAATAAAAAAGTAACTAAAATTAGGATCAGCCTTATTGTATTTGCCATTAGATCACAAGTTTACACAATCACTAATGACACAAATAAAAACGCCCGTATCGCAAGAGATGTAAACGTACCTACTAGATTAGAAAACGAAAACAAACAAAGTGTCTTTATCGCAGTACCATAATCTAATTACTATTCTTATTACACAAAAATTAATAAATAAAACAATAGGACAGTTCTCTAAGTATAGGTTGCTCCAAGATGCTATTTTCTAAAATTTTAAATAAATCGGTAAATAATAACGTTTAATGGAAGTATAATTTCTTCATGATACGAAAATGGGTAAACGTATATATGTGTTAAATTAAAGTAATCATTGTTTGCTGCACGTTGTATATTTGTAACAGTATATAACATAAATTTTAATCAAAAATAAACGCGTCATAATATTGACGACGTCTTGAGAATTTCCCTGTGAAATGTGCAATTATCAGGATCATGTCTGCTATTAACCCCTCAGTCACTCACGAAACAAGTAACCATTTTGGAAAAAATTAACTTCTTAAACATAACCACTATTAAGCTGGACGTACATTTGTCCGTACCGTACGCATCGTACGCACCCTGTGCGCCGAGTTTTACTGTGGCCTCGCACATTTGCACTTACGCATCGTCCGCGCCGTACGCAAATCTTTTTTTTCAACCACTGGTGAAACGGTACAGTGAAATCCATCGCTCGAAATCACTATGGAAAGTAATGTAGTATTAGCCTGCTTATTGGCAGAGGAAGAAGAAAATAAAATTCGAAGGAAAAGAGAATTCTGGATTCATAATATTAATTTAAAAAGGCAATTCTATGGAGATCTTTTAACGATTTTTTAAATATTTAGGTACATCTTACATACAATAAATTTTAAGAATAGCAATATATATTAAAACTATATCTTTCTATGGAAAACTCAAGATTTAGAAGGCCAATTGAACTAGAGAAAAGACTTGTTGTATGTTTGAGGTAAGCATTTTTATTGTTAATTAAGTAAGCAGGTATAATTGGGTTTTTTAAATAAATTTAAGTAGATTTATTAGTTCAGTATTTAAATAATTTATCACTAAGTGATATATTGAATATTGATAATCGATGCAAAAAAATTCAAATTATGTATAATTAATTACGAATTAATAAGTTATAAAAATACAAAAATTATCACGTATATCGAAACCACCAGCTATAGTGGAAAATCCACTAAGTTGGCAACATTAAACAACACTGAGTATCAGCACGCGCCAAACGCGCCGCGTTATATGACGTTATCAGCATGCGTCGTTCAATATTCGGATACCTACCGCATTTTATAAAAGTCGGCGCGTACGGTGTGGGTGTAATGTGCGAGGTTTCATATGATTTGATGCAACGAATTCTAAAATTCGGCGCGTACGGCGTGGACAAATATGCGTTCAGCTTAACACTAAAAAATTACAAAATATCTAGGAGCTTATTTCTTTCGTGCCGACCCATGCCGACCCATGCCGACCTGTCATTCTAAATCGTTACAGAGGCATGAGATTTGGTACCCTTTTCTATCTTTTCTATTTTCTCTATCCTTTTCTATTTTTTTCTCCCATGCGCACTATGTCTATACGCTTACGCCAGTATTTTCTAAGTCTATGGTCTAGAACTATGGAATGCTGGCAAGACTAGCTTTGAAAAATCAAACTATGAAGCTTGTATTTTTGGTTTACCTGCGTGAAATAATATGATATTTTTATTAATTTTATAGTAATAAGCCTTATTTTATTATAAGTACTATATGATGTATAAGTGACAACGCTAAAATTTGCGATTAGGTGATTTTGTTGTGGACGCCCAGTAAAATAAATGGTGGACAATATGGCTGCCAGTGTATATTTGTCAGGAGTAATTGTGGCGGTTTTTGGTGCGTTTATTCGTAATCCAATAATGTATCATTACTTGCATCCTCCCACTTGTTTCGGTCTAAGTTAGGTGCTAGAAGTATTCATTTTTAGTGTTGTTTAAAAAGTCTTCGAATTATCACTATTTTGTACCATTTACCAAACAAGCTGTTTAGCATTTAAAGCCAAGTGAAGTGCAGTGCAGTGCTGTTCGTTTAGTTTGATTGTGTTTGACAAAGATCATTAAGAGATTAGAAGAATAAATCAAATTTCTCGCGATGTCGCATAATGAGTGGTGGCGATGATAACTTTTCGCGTCGTGCAGCCGGTGCAGCTCTGCCACTCATGGTATGTCAAAATATTGTTTGTTTTTTTGTTTGTTTATTTTTTAAAATTTTCATGCTAGCGTTGTGAATAAATAATCTTGTACTTCTGGTTTATACATATTATGATCTCTCTAAATTTTGCAGATATGGTTGCTGTTAGTGCATCCGGCAAATATAATAAATTTTTAGATTTATAGATTATTACATAGATAAAGTATACTTACAAGAACAAACAATATGAATCGTCAATATTTGATTTTATAATATCATGTAATATTGCTTGCTTTGTTTATATCAAAGAACAACAATTCTAAGAAACGTTTCAGTAAGCTTCATGACATTATTATCCTAATATATTCTTGTACCTATATAGTAAAGCTGTATGATAATATCATTATTGTCACACTATTATTTATTTACTAGCTGTTCCGTGTAGGCCTGGGTCGTATCAAGTTTTCTGAGAATCATATCTATATCAGATTTCGACTTTCAAGATCTGATTTCAAAACTATATATTTTAATATCTATATATTCTGCGTATGCGTTTATATTTTCTACTCGGATATGCTGTTGAAATCCGATACGAAGATTTTATAGTTACTCTTATCTTACCTATTTGATCAGAATTGTAGCTCTATAGTTTTAGAGTAAATGTATATTATGTTATCTTCTTGGAGCTAATGCAGATATAGTTGTAGTTTTAATTTTATTATTTTAAAGTTTTGAACTAGATTTCGGTTAAGTCAATTTAGTACAATTTGCTTTACCTACATCTATATCGATGACTGTAAATGACGTATTTTTGTAGGTATACAAATGTTAACAAATTAAATAGCCGATTCCCACGACTTCGGCCAGGTGAAAACCAATTTAAAAAGATACTGTTGGGATTTCTCAGAATCCTTTTTTTGAGCGGATCTACTTTTGTAGATATATTATATAGAGAACCTACCGACTTCAAAAAAGAAAGTTCTATATTAGACCCATACATATGGGTACGGTACTTATCAATGTTTGAGATTTTCGGAATTCTAAAAAATGGATGAAACAATTTTGATTTTATTTTACTAACTTAATCTTTATAAAGGTCGGTTAGAATTAGTTATTCTTTTTAGAAATAATATTTATATGATCTTAATACATAATTAGGTACATTAAGTAATTAAACGAAAAAATTCGTGTGTACAGAGTATACACGCAGATAATGCTTAAATGTTTTAAGCGATTCAAACACGTGAGGCCCAAAGCACCCTGAAGAGGGAGACCTACGGCCACCTGACCCGACGCCTATCCACCCTAATTCTGTGCTTATACGGAGCAAATAAGTTCGCAAATCGCCTGGCACTCGAACAGAAGAAATCAAAAGAAATGAAAATCCTTATTTTATTTTAATTAATTTTAAATTAAATTAGAATAAATATAAACTAAGATTTAAGAAAATATTACTTACTTTATACACCTGTTTAACATATGTCGAATTATAAATTTAATCAATAAATCTGTACCTACAAATAAATAAAATTGAAGTGTCTGTTTGTACCATGAAGCAAATACAAAGTTTACACGTTTTACTTTGTATTTGCTTCATGGTTTGTACTGTCAAAATAACATCTTTTTACTGATTTATATTATGAAAGTACTTCTAACAAAAAACTCTTTATTTTTAAAAATTCTGTCTGTTCCGACTAATCTCCGAAATGGCTGGTTGATTTTGATGGGACTTTCACTGGCAGATAGCTGATGTTACAAGGAGTAATAGGATAGTATATGGAGTAACATAGGCTACTTTTATTTTAGAAAAAAGATTAGGGAAGAAGTTTCACTTTAATAATCTATAATATAAAAATGAATCCTTGAATGTGTTGCTAAGCGCAAATCTCGAGAGCAACTGAACCGATTTTGCTAATTCTTTTTTATAATATTCCTTGAAGTACGAAGATGGTTTTTACGGTGAGAAAATTTTAAAAATTGCCTGAAAAAGTCTAAAAACAACACTTTTCTATAATTCCATACAATAGATTCGTAATAATACTTAAAAGTCAATTTGAAGTGTTAGTGGAGGGATTCCGGGAAGGCAAAACATCACTCACGTTAGTATGGTATAAATATTAATGTCAATATTTGTCAATATTTATTAGATGGTAACATTACTCAAAAACAAAATTAGGGTTCCACACAGAAAAATTGATATCCATGAAATCGTAGTAAATTCCACGCGGGCGGTCGCGGGGCACAGCTAGTACATAAATAAATTCAAAAGATCGCTGTCGATTTTTCGTTTGAGTTCACCTGATTTTTTTTTTGGCTGTACCATACGATTGCTTACTTAGCCGTATTTATGCCATCTAGCGTCTTCTTTACGTTACACCTTGAGAGCAATCAATTTTCGTTCGATAAAATGGCTTTAGCCATAGAATGGAGTAGCAGTTTACAAAGCAATTTTATGATTTATTACATTAAAATTTAGGCTTCACGTGTCTAAAAATAAGGATTGTAACAATTATTTGCTAAATATATATACTTAACTTGAAACTTAAAGTTAAACTTATATCCAATATTTTATGCTGAAGTTGTGGTTGAAAATTATCATATTAAATAAATCGTTTGCCCTTAAATCTTTTGAAGTGTTATTTGTATTAAACTCTACGAAATGATATTTTTAACACATAGATGTAATGCTATTAACTGAATCTAGTATATATACAGTAATCTATGGACTGAATTCATTAATGGTTGATGTTAATTTTATGTACTTACTTTGTTGTTACGATATTGGCTTAAATATTGGTTGGTAGTAATTTAAATAAAGCGCGCCAGTTTAATATTATTTTGTTTTGTTTACATTTTCATCAAAATATTACAAGGGATTTATATAAATCTTGAAAAAATAATTACTAGGGAAGTTAATTAAGATTTAGTGAAATTGTTTTTTTATTATTGAGTGTAGTGTATAAATATAAGAGTTTAGTAAGACTTTAATTTTCCGCCATGTCTAATCTAATATTCATAACGCTCGCACTCTGTCGCACACGGCGAAACTAGGCACCGACCGATGCGAAACGATTTAGGCATCGCGGCGGTACGCAAATATCAGATTTTGTAATACATAGTTTTTGAACGAACCAGTATAATACCTATAACGCTCGCGCTCCGTCGCACACGGCGAATCTAGCCACCGACCGATGCGAAGCAATATAGGCACCGCGGCGGTACGCAAATATCAGATTTTGTAATACATAGTTTTGAAACGAATCAGTAAGGCCCGCCACATACATACGGAATTCCGTTTCGAGATTCCGTTTCGGAATTTCGAACGGGTCGGCCTCACACATACGAAATCCCGTATTGCCCGCAAAATTTCGAACGGAAAACTACCGTACGTGTGTGACGGGTCATAGATTTTATATGAACTTGCTGCGTTCGGAATATCGAAACGGAATTCCGTATGTATGTGGCGGGCCTAAGTGGTTTTTAGATATTGTACTAACCGTATACTGATACGAAATCTATATAGATTTCGTATCAGTATACGGTTTTCATCACCCACCTCTAGTTCCGTGCGACTTCGCCCGCGTCTAATTTAGGGTTTTAATTTTTTTGCGAGAAAACCTAATTATTTTTCTAAAATAAAAGTAGCCTAAGTTACTCCTTATGACATCTGCTATCTGCCAGTGAAAGTCCCGTCAAAATTTATCCAGTCCTTTCGGAGATTAGCCAGAACAAACAGACAGACAGACAAAAATTTTAAAAAGTGTATTTTTGTTAAAAGTACTGTTTATACTTTCATTTGCATTTAGTAAAACGCTGTAATTTTGAAATTACAAACAGACACTCCAATTTTATTTATTTGTATAGATTTAAGGACAGCCATAGGTAATTAAAAGAAACAACCATGATAAGTTTTTCAACTTTCAAGAAAAGAGCTTACACCTTTCTTAAAGGCCAGCAACACATCTGCAATTCCCCTGGTGTTGCGGTTGTTCATGGGCGGCGGTAGTCACTTACCATCAGGTGAGCCACATGCTCGTTTGCCCCCTCTTCTATAAAAAAAAGTTTGTTTGTGATTATAGTTGTTAATTAATCATTTATTAATTTTAAACTAAAATAAATTATTTGCCATGGACTTCATCCATTTCTGTTATTTTTAGACTCAGATGTTGACAATGCTTTAGTATCCTGCGGGGAAGGGGTGACACCTTATTCACACTACCTTACTGCATAGCTGTTTTATTTCACATTAAAACAGCTTTCAAGAGTCAAAGTAGAAAAAAAATTAGTTGCCTTGGTATGTGGTGAGTGAAAGGAGAAGTTGGAGATAGTGCTTCCAATCCCAAAGTTTACCATCAATCTTAGTATTTGTGGCACTGAAAATTTTCAGTCCCTTATATTAGAGGTTTTCCTTCAGGTCTTCAAATAATACATTGAATAACCTTTTACAATTATTTATTTCTAATACAAACTTGTACTCAGTTTTCACAATTGTGCATGCGTGTACTCACCTTGACCTTTCTAGCCAGAATGACCAGATAGACCCTAAATTAACTATAAAATGACTATAAGATGACTGCTCTTGAATATAAAACTATAACATTAATAAAATAAATGTATTTATCATTTTCGATCTCTAACACTTTGGATCTTTATATTTGAAGGATGCTACATATGGAAATTCATATTTAATATTTCCGGATGGCTCCGTGGCGCAGTGGCTTAGCAATGAGTTGTTGCACTGGGGGTATGCTGGTATATAAAATTAAACACTTGTTCTTGTAAAGATAAAAGCACACTTTTGTGTAGGGTGATGAAATCCAAACACGACATGCTATTTGGGATATAAAAAGTCCCGATTATAAAAATAAAATAAAAAATAAAAAACATAATTGGGAGGAGATTGTTGAAATTTTCTGGGATTGTGAAGACAATTTGTAAAAGAAATAACTGTTGGGTGAGTGTAATTATTTATTGATGTTTCCTATAATTATATCATGTGGTCTTGCTGAAGTAGTTTTTTCTCATTTACAA